CGATCCAAAACCATCCTTAAATACGGCTATTGATAAAATTATTTGGAGTATACGCTCGACGAAACAATCATCCATTGGATGCTCTCCTTTCTAAAAACATTTTAATAGATCTCCCAATACGTTCTGCAAATCTTTGGTCTCTCACGCAATTAGTTTAGATAAGGGGAAATCAATCCTAACGAAGGACAGAGAACAAGACTGGGGGGCTGACGACGCGTTCGAAGATGGCTATCTGGAAGACAGAGCAATAGATGAAAGAGGGTACGAGAGCGACCTGCTGACAAAGTAGATAGAAATTTCCAGCGAGCCCCACTGTCAAATCTTTTCAGCCAAGGAGGTAACTGGTTTAGGAAAACAGTTAACAGGAGGGAAGGCGAACCGTATTTTAAACCACTGGGGAGTAAACCTCTGTCAGACACGAAACATACGGTCACATTAGACAACGGACATGTGATAGGAAAATCTGACTTAGCTTTCAACAAAATCCAACCGCCAGCTCCTAAGACAGTCTCGGCAAGACCGAATTTGCTAATTAATAGTAATGATTTAGCAGGCAAGCGAAAAAGAAACTCCCCTTCGAGACGAGATTCAAATATAGGAGGCCCTTCGACGAGTTACACACCAACGGGTGGAAATACATGCAAAAAGAGGAGAACATTCATCACGAGCTCGAAAGGTTCAAAATTCGACTTTATTAACCTAGATTCTTCGTTAGAGTTAGACCTTTGGGATAAAGTCATTGATGACTACTTGGGTACGGAAGCGGAAACTGTATGTAATACACCGACTGCTAACCTTCATAGTGATTTAGATCAGCCAAGGAGTACCGTACAAAGCCAGTCAAACACTCAGACAACAATCAATATACCAACGGGCACAAGTGACGACTCAATTCGAGTGGATAACTCTCCGGAGAAGACAGTGGAGACACCAAAGACCCCAATATCCTCAAAACTTCCTGCAAGAAGAAACCCAGGCCCCCCGAAATTCTACGGTGATAGGCGGTTTATCGACCAAGTGACTCTCGGAACGGAGACCATTAGTGCAGTAGACTCCGATGACGAACCGCTAATTACGTTCTCCGGCGCAAAGAGTCCACGACCTAATTTAACGTACTGTACGACGTCCCCCTCGGATTATCTTACACCCATTGATGAGATCCCACGTCATACGACCCTGGTTGCTGAAACCGCACAAGATCAACTCTCAACACCCTCCTCTCAGGCGACAAGGATCGCATGGGTATCGCCACCATTGGTAGAAGTTACCAGTAATACCCAGGATGATGACGGCAGTGACATATCCTTGGGCATTGACACCGATGTAAGACGAGAGGCAGATAACTTCCATGCTAGATACAACACTACGGTCCTAAATTCTGAAAACTGTTAAACTATGGTAACATGATATTTTACGTATTTGCTTTAGCTTTTATCCATTGGATAACCCAAAATTTTTTTTTTATTACCTAGTTAGTGATTTAGTTAGTTTGCTTTAATTGTACAAATTCTACATAACCCCAGTTGTACATATCATTTTGTACATTCAGTATTGATATCTGTGTAAACCTGTAAGTAGCCTGTATATATTACTATATAATCACCTCCATTGTAATTTGTACTCTCTGTAAAAATCCATTGGTGCTAAACGTGGTTACTTTTGGTTTCTTCTTTGGCCCTAGTGGAGCGAGGGGAGATGGAGTATATATGTGATATTGGCTACAACGATGAGCGGGCAGATATTAATTTTTGTGCAGTGGGGAATGTTGTGATTCAGTATTTTTAGTATGTTATAACTTTGACCTCTATTATCTAATTACGTACCAGTTAATGTTAACTCTACGAAGTCCAGTGGACTTCGGATCACTAGTTGCTCTTTTTAGACTACAGTCAGTTTTAATTCAACCAATACTTTTATTTTCTTTTAAACTTAGTTAGATACAATAGTTACCAGTGGTACATCTTAACTCTTTATTAACAACTTCCGCTGTTAGCTAAAAAATACTTATAAAAAATCTGGTATCGAGTTTACGGATTACATTTTTAATAGCTTTTTATATATTTTCTATTTATATTTTTGTATATAAAATTCTTCAATGGCATTGAAATGGATCTAGGCTTTTCACTAGTATTTCCAAGGCCAAGTGTCTGCAAGAAGTAATTTTTTCGGCCATTCCAAATTGTGGTTGTATCCAGTTGCTGTTCGAAAAAGCTCATACCAAACGTTCCATTCTAGCGGAATAACGATCAATTTTGAGAGTTATTTATCTGACTATTTGAAGCCTTTTAGACCATTATTCGTTGTCACGACAAAAAAAAGTTCCATGTCTTGATTGCAATCGATCAGGGAACAATTTGCGGTCACAAGAACTGGTTTGCTTAAAACAGGTCCAGGTCTTGATGGACCCAAAAAAAATGTCAAAAAGCGTTTTCATGCATTCCCGAGTGTCGAATAAAAGTGAACTTGGTGCAGGTAGTTGGAATTTCGATTTTGGTTGTCACTCTGATGACTTCGAAATAGAAGCCAAATTGAGTTGCGCCAACAGTTGTAGTAGAAGTGTCAAAATTTATTGTTGACGTTTTATCAATGAAGTTAACTTTAATTGCAATTAAAGTTAGCTTCATTGGTAAAACGTCAACAACAAATTGCAATGGAAGAACGTAGATAAGAGGCTGCAGGGGTTTAGGAAATGAGACGTTCAGCGAGTAAGACGATTAGAAAATTGAGTGAAATTTTTTTTACAGACTTAAATTAACTTTTGGCTGAGTAATCACTGGCTGTACAACCGCAAATCAGGTCATAAATGTCATAGTTCAATAACTTATGCATTTCAAAGAATGTAACTTACTTTTTTGATCTACTGTTTTATAATTAACTTACAATAACAGTTTTGATCAGTTCTGTGATTATTTACTCTTTTTGACTTAATTCAAAGCAAAACAAAGTTTTGTTGGCTCTGTTCTTGTCGTCAAAGTTCACAAAAAATTACCCGTACCGAGAAATTTTTTTATTTCTGACCTAAAACACATTACCTATAATCTGAATTTCCAGAATTTTTTTTTATTTCTCATCTTACTTCTGATCAGGAGTTACTTAAAACTAGGCTATTTCTAGCTAGAAAAAAGTCTCGTGGTGGGGCTTGAATTCCTACCCTTTAAATTGCTAAACGATTGTGCTCAACACTGGGCCACATGCCTTGGAAAAGATTAATAGTTTTAGCAATCTAATGTAAATAGGACTTGTTATAACAAAAGTTAATTTGCATTGTATTGCTACTGCATTGTGTATACTCGAAGCATGTTTATCTCGTTGCGGTTGAGCAGCGAAGTGATTTCTGGTTATTTTTCCCAGAACTGTTTGTTTCTAAACTAGAAAATGAAATAGATCTTTTCTGCTCAGAGAAAAAGCAGAAAACTTGGTTTGATAATCTATTTAAATTTCTATCTAGAAAACAGCCTCCGTTGGCTACGGGAATTGTCTAAGTTCCGTTTCTCTGCGGTCATCTAATTTGCTTGTCGTCTAATTTCTTAGACCCCAGGCTGCAGAAGTAGCTCAAACAGATTTTTGCCGATACGAGGAGGTGACCGAAGACACAACCCCACGAATATTTTGAAAAGTTCGGTTCAGGTTTTTTTCATTAATCCAAAGCATAGCGTAGACGCCCTTATTGAACATCTGCTAGTAGATAAAAAACAAATATTTTATCTGAAAAAGCTTCAACATGCTCAAAAAATGTTCCATGCGCAATTGTAAATATGTGATTAAGTATACACTATCAAACTTGGAGAATCCTGAATCTCTTTATCGTGTTTTTGTTGTAAGCCTTCAAATATGAAACAAAATTTGATCAACATAACTTGACTTGATAGTGCGGAGGACGCGCAAAAAATAAGTTGTAGCTGGTCAAAGTAGACATTTTCAATGGTCAGAGGCTAGTAGCGATTATATTTTTTTGAGGATGCATATTTATTTTTTTTTTGCATCTGATAAAATTATTTGTAATTGCGGCTGGTTTTGGGAGCAGAAGTGTTTATGTGTTTTTATAGTAATTTTAAAGTATTTTTCACAAAAAATTTTTTAGTTTTTTTGTTCAAGAAAAACTGTGTTTATTGAAAAATGCAGGTCTCAAGACTTATCTATGAATTGAAGTAGACAAAAAAAGACAAAAAAAGCGTACGAGTAATTTTTATTACTTCTTGTAAAACAATTTTTTGAAAACGTAAATGCAAGATGTCGCCTGTGCATTTGAGAACCACATAAAAAATGCTGAGCGCAGTCCTGACGGAAACAAATTGTGATGAGCTTCTTAAAAGTTTTTGACCATTTCGTCCTGTTAAAAGACCGTGCAAAAGTCCGGTAGTTGAACTGTTAAAAAGAATTTTATTAAGGGCAATTAAATTGTCATCGAAATGTTCAAAAACATCTTGGAATTAAGGGCAACCAATCAGGATTGTTTTAAAAATTTTCTTGTTAGGAGGATTTACTAGTGGAATCACAAAAATCATTCTGTTGTTGAAAAATTACCAATCGTTGCCTCTTCTAAATCACTAGATTTTTCCATTTTCATGAAATAAATGCAATCAAGCTGCGTGCAACACAGTTTGCATCAAAAGTTACAAAGAAGTAGTTTTTGAATAAAAACAAGAACTTGATGATGAGTCATTAGCAAAACGCAATTATATTTTCGTCAAAAAAGTAAGTGTCTAAGAAGACACAATTTCAAAGAAAATTTTAAGATTAGCAGTACCAAAAAAGTTTTGGGGTGCGAACTCCTCAGAACCCCCCTCCGCGACTGCCAATTGTTTCCAAAATACCCCCTTTGATATAATTTTACGACATACTTTTTTTTGACTCACCAACACATTTTAGCTGGCCGAGCAACCCTGAAATTTTCTACGGCATGGTTTTCTGACCGACCGGTCACGGCACAAAAATTAAACAATCAAAAAGATTAATCGTGGGATCCTAGAAGCGAAACAAAACGTAGTATTTACCCACTTTATTCTCTCATAAACAAAACAAATTTTACAATCACGTTTGATTTACCACAACAATTTGACCGAATGAGTTTTTCAACTGCTCAAGGAACAAAAACGTCAAAATGGTTTGAGGCGCAAGTCGCATGAAAGCCGGTGAAAAGCCTCTGAAAAACGTTGTTGGTCCAATTTTTAAAGTCTGATAAAAGCAATCTGCCAAACCATTGAACTCTCCTAGTCTCGCATTCATCATTTTTGTTTTTAAAACATCGAGTGGCAATGTAAGAAATGTTGTAATGGCTCCTGCGATGGTCGAGCTGACAAAGTAACATAACTGGTTATCGTTCAATAACCCCAAAATTAAAATTTTCTCTTTAATTGTGTCATAACTAGTCATTTGACCGATAGACATCAAAGCGCCTCTTGAACTAGTCATCGAACATCCTCCAAATAATCGCATGAAACCTTCTTCTTTCACAACACGAAACAGACCATCGAAAACGTGTTTGTAGTTGCGTCTTGCAGTTTTTGATGTTTTCATGTCTGTTTGCATGCGAACTACAATCATGTCGACTGGCGAAGACATAAGCGCGCTCAAAAACCCAGCACATCCGGATATGGTTATTTTGGCATCGATAGTAATCGGGCTTCCAGAGCAAATGAGGTAGTTTTTGGAACCCTGAGAGACTCTTTTTCCTCCCTCATGTGAAAAATAAGGTCGTTTTTTGCAATCTATTCTAAGTTCTCATCTTCAGTAGAATTTAAAAAATATATATCGAATAAAGTTGAAAAACTTTATAGAAAAATTTTTCTCCATCTCTTCATTGACCCGATCATAAAAGGCAAAAAAAAAGAAACAGTTCAAGAGTCAATTTCAGCAAAAAGTTTCTTCAAATGACTTGGGTGTTCAGTTTAATAAAAAAAAGAATATAATTGTAGAAGGGAGGAAAAAAGCGTAATGCCTCGTAGATGGCAAAACGAGTAGTGTTGAATATCATCTGTCGTAAAATGGACGCACTCAATCCACAGTATAGTCCCTGCAGTCCGTCTGATCTGAACACGTGAGCAAATGTGCGCAGGATGGAGGGGGACTCACTGTATGCGGAGACAGTCTGGAAGTGCACCTGCAAACAAAAATGACCAGAGCATACTTCGAAACAAGAGTAGCGACTATCAAACAATTGGCTTAGAAACTTTGAGCACAAGTATCAATTAAAAAAATCTAAAAATCATTAAAAAAAACGTTTCGAATACGAAAATGATCGACCCGCAGATTACAACATGCTCTGAAAGAATACTCGGTCGAAAATTAAAATATTCCGACAGTTTTTTAAATTTTAAGACGTTTCAGGTGGTTTCTTGCTTAAGCACGAGACAATTTAGAATCTCTCTAACTACTTCCTACTTCCCCTGGAAATAGAGGGAGGAAAGAGGAGAGAGAGAGAGAGAGAGAGAGAGAGAGAGAGAGAGAGAGAGAGAGAGGATAGAGAGAGAGAGAGAGAGAGAGAGAGAGAGAGAGGAGAGAGAGAGGATAGAGAGAAAGTGATAAAGGGAGAGAGAGAGAGAGAGAGAGAGAGAGAGAGAGAGAGGATAGTGAGAGAAAGTGATATACGGAGAGAGAGAGAGAGAGAGAGAGAGAGGAGAGAGAGGAGAGAGAGGAGAGAGAGGAGAGAAAGAGAGAGAGAGAGAGAGAGAGAGAGAGAGAGCGATTCATTTTTTTACTAGGTATTTATGACTTAAGCAAAAAATTAAAATTTTCCGTTTTTTAAATTTTTTAGGACGCAAAACATCTTAATAGTATGCAATGGCACTTACTAACACGTTATTCAAGCAACTTAGGGCGCCTCAATTCAAAATCAATTGATTTCTTAGCAAAAGCGAATTCGACCTATTTAATACAAACGTGGAAATGTAGTGCTCCTTATTAATCCCAAGCTCGCAAATTACGTGGCCAAACTGTCACTATAAAGGCGCAAAGTTTTGTGTCTGTATGGAATTTTTTGTCTGTTCGTGCAAACCAAAACAGCAAAAAAGATGAAAGAAAAGTAGCAAGGTTGCGGATTTCGCAACAAATCTGATTTTGACCTGTTGTGGAATCCGCGTACAATTCACAAAATGCAAACTGGCGATATACATCCACATGGTTAAATATAGAAACTCACAAATTTTGTTTTTTGCATGGTTGAGCTCAGGGTGTTCAAAATTTTTTGGGCTATATCTTGCCTGACTTAAACAACTATGAGCACTTTTTATTTAGTTTTATCCCGGAAATTTCCAAACATATGAATGAATATTTTTCTGTGCTGAATCAGTTTGAGCAGCAGTCAGAATCATTTTGACCCGTTTTTCTTGACAGTTTGAGAAATTTCTTGACAGTTAGAGAAAATAGTTTATATGAATCTAAGTCACGACTGAATTATTTTGGCTTTGAAAGAAGGTCAATTTCAGAAAAATCCTGGACGATAGATTTTTTCCACCTTTTCTTTTAAAAAGTTTCATATCACTTGCGGATCTAAGATTTTCTCGGAAATAAAGTTTTAAAAAAAACATCAACTTTCGTGAACATCAGAAAAAGCAAGCCAAACAAAACAAGCCAACAAACAAGCGCTCGCCTTTAAACTTGCATGCAATGGAGTAAACTGTGTCTTTAGAAAAACTTAAGGTCCGTTGCATGAAACAGACGTTTTTAAGTAGTACCAAACCCAAACAGGAGTCCTGTTGGGTGGCGAGGGATCTCGTTCCTGAGGAAGGTGGGCTGTTTCCCTAAATTCGCCCCTATAGTCAGCTAAAACTATAATCGACAAAAATAATTTTTTCAAATATCGTGCCAAAAGTCCATATCGTCCATTTTTTTGAAGATTTTGTTGATACAGTCAGCAATCTTAGTGATGTCAAATAAATCTTTTTTTTCCATGATTTTCGCGATTTATACATCACAACTAATAAAAAAATAATAGATATTTTTTCTAAAAGACGGGGGTTGTAGGGTTTGGACAACTGATAGTACTTTACAGTTGAAACTTCTAAGCACTTCGTAGTACATCTTAGAAATTGGACAGCTTAATTAAGGCATCACCTGACTAGACCCATCGGGCTTTTTAATTTCCTTGCATATCAGGATTATGTAAATTGACACATGTCTATTGAATAATCTCTCATATGAAAAAATTTTTTTTTAATGATTATTAGACACTTCGTCTTTCAATAGATTTCAGGACCATAAGAAAAATAGGTTTCATTTTCCAAATATGAACAGTTAACAATTTGCTTTTGATTAAAGTGTTGGTTAGTGTAATTTTTTTGGGTCAAAAATGTTTATGTGATGCTTACCTTTACTAGGCTGAATGGGTAGGTGCAACTAGCAGCTGCAGTTCCAGCCACACCTCCAAAGTACCACTTGCCCACTTTATGCACACTAGCAACCCCACCTACCACATTCGAAGTCATCCCTCCACCCCCCGCTAAGCTCGACTTGTCTTTGATTGGAGTCATAAAAACTGAATTCGTAAAGCGCTGGATAAGAATTTAAAATGAAGAGTAGAAATCGTCACAAAATATGTTTTATATCTAATTCTGCGCTCCGCTAAGCTTGATCGGTCAAAAGAATCATTTAAAAAAAGTATTGAATTGAATAGTGTAGTAATGATTGTGTTTGAGTTACAATTTTTTTTGTAAAGTAAAGGCAAAAACTATATAATGGTCGTAAATTGTCAATAAAATCTTGTCATCTCAATAGCCAAAGTTTTTTAATCTGCGAGCAAGTATAGAAATGACTCTGAACTTTAATTAACAATCATAATTTCGACCTCTTTGTAGTAGTTAGAACATAGTTGAAAGATGCCCGAGGCCATCTTGAACTATGTTCTAACTGTTGAAGAGTATGTTTTTGCTCTTTCTGAGGGAAAGATGCCGGAAATATGTGAAAGAGCCCGGAAAAGTGCGCGAAACTATGCAAATGATTTCTTTTTTCATTCATGCGTTCTAATATTTTATTTTTCATACATGCCTTGTCGTGAAAGAACATGTGTGAAAGAGCAAAAACAAAGTGTTCGTTCCGACCACTTCGCAAAGTAGGAAGGAACCACTTCGCAAAGTGCTTTTTCAAAAAATAAATTTCAGACTGTATTTCCAATTCAGTTCTTCTAAAAATTTTCAATGCTTTCCTTATTATTAAATGGGTTAATTAGCCATTTCAATCACCTTTTGCTCTGTAAAAAAACCAGCAACGAAAAAACTCATGATCAAAACGTTCGAAAAAATTATGAAACTTTTCAAATAATATGATTTCTTCATTTTTGATATTTTGTTTTAAAAAATGCGTGGTCGGAACCTTCTGTGCTATTTGTACAACATCTGGCTATTTTTGTTTTACAGGAATTAAAGGTCGGATCTCGATTTTGGTTGGAAGAAACTTTTTTTTTAAATTGCGTTTTCATTGATGAATCAAAACTTTCAATTGCTGAGTTGCATTTCTCATTGAATGCTCTACATTTTCAAACTGAAGACCAGAATATTGAAAAACGTGCTTAGTCTGGAAGAAAGGCTAGAACTAGCACATACGTTAGTTACAATATAAATGAGGCTATAAATCAAAACACGGCGACCATATACCAATATAATTTATATACCAACCAACACCAACTACCATTACATTTACGAACGCATGCAAAAGCAGTCGGGTAACAGACAGCACATTTCAGAGGCCTTTTCTTGTACTTTACTGACCTTCAGTTTGTTGGTTAAATTACGTGAAAGGCACTACGATATTTGAACCAGAAGAGCCGCTCTAGTTTCAAGTATCATTTGAACTCTTGACATACTATTTGCTGTACAACTGAGGCCAAAGGTTAAGCATATCTTAGTCTTTTGAACTGAATACTTCTTCAATTATTAATTTGGATTTTTTCTCTTTTTTTTGTTCCGAATTTAAAAGAAAGTGACGCTATACTTGTGTAGTTTTAGCATGCGGTTTTCTGGTCTCTATTTTTTGCCGATTGAATCGGGCTGTAGTTGTTGAAGTATCATTTTCCTTATTGTACTTGGACTTTTCGATCGGTTTTGAGGCCATACATTTACTGCAGTGTTCATGCCTGCTGGAGATTGATGAAAACTGACAGAAAATATTTTGAATTGTTTTATGGATGTAACAAAATTTTTCTCCGCCTATCCGCGGTAGCTTGTGGTTGCCAAGCAAAACGCAGGCCTCAAATTTGACGCAATTTTCTTGAATGACAGGCAAACTGGTGAGAACAAGCTGACAAGCAGACAGTGAGCTGAATGGCAGGCAACTAAAAAAAGTAAAACAATTGAAAGTTTTTTTTTAATTTTGAGCAATTTTAAAGTTAATTCTTATGTTATTGAGGGGACCAATTTATGGAAGATTCCAATCAATCAGAATCAGTTTACGTTCGACTTGTATAAAAACGAATTCGAAACTACGAGAGAATGATCTGTTAACAATACAGCCCGGGACGAGGTGTATTATGTTACTTGCCCCCTTTGTTCTGCTCTTGGGGCTGTCTCGTCAGTTCGATACGATCACAACCATTTCCAATGGTAATTGAAATCAGAAAACATAAGTCCATTACAGAAGGCTCTAAGTGGCCAGAATGAACTCTAATAATCAAATGATAAGAAAAAGTCCGCGATTTATCAGCACAATTGCCTAATTGCAATTTAATTTCCAATTCTCTCTCTCTCTCTCTCTCTCTCTCTCTCTCTCTCTCTCTCTCTAGAGAATCATGACTAACCAACTATACACAAGAATTTCACACGACTACTCTGTTCGACCTGCTAAAAATAAAATCACTTCATATCTCCACATATCACTTTTCCTTTGATGTTTTTTAACTGATCTCACTAACTTCAGGAATCACTGTTCTCAACTCTGATGAGAACCAAATATCTACTATATTGGTAATCTCGCGTTTCAATAATTGTTCTCCAACTAACCGAGAACCAACCGTTGCACTCACATAACAATTGTTCTCTCCAACGATAGGCTACACATAACCTTTTTGCTATGTTTGTCTACTTGAGATGTAGTTTTAATTAGAAATAGGATTATCCCAACAAGTCCTGATATCTACTGTAGTACATCCTATGCAGGGGCCAAACTGAATTTTTCCACTGACGAAACACGTCATGAATTCCAATTTCACCATAGATATCTCGAAATAAATTGAGCGCATATCATGTCCAATTTAACCTCTAGGCCAAATATGTTTAATTAGCCAGTCTCTCAAGATTTTAAATTAGTTTTTCTCTTTAACGTTATGACCTCCCGGGCAGGGGTAGCTTACTCATTCCAAGTATCTAAAATCCCAGCTATACTTTATTCCAATACCGACCTTCTACCTATTAGGGGAAAGTTATTTGCTTATTAGATGTCATTTTGTGCCAAAAAATTACCTCCATGTAGCTAAAAAATAATCATGTCCGTTCAAGTTGTTTAGGAGACCTACTTTCTATCCTACGCTCTAATACTGCCAATTTCCCTACGTTACTACGTTTGTTTAGTCTAATTGATTTTTAATTAATAAAGCGTTCGCGACGTTAAGGTGAACCCAATGTTGGCCATGTTCATTTTAATTAATTCACTATGTCAATATCACCATGAAAAATCCATACTCTTTTCAGTTTCTGCTTTAGTTTCCAATAAAAAGCATCCACCAAAATTATAAGTTGGCTGATATATTCTTGTTTAAAAAGAGTTGGGAATGGGAAATACGCCCTTTTCCGGTGATAATCTCGGGGTCGTCTTTGCAACTTTTGTCCTAAACATCTAAAAGTCATTTAAAGGTCAACCCCAGTCACCCCGGTTTCATCCATATCCCATTAACACTTCCCACATAATCACATTTCTACGGTCCAAAATCATTTTTCCCGGGAAAACATGTTAACATCGGAAAGAGTCGACGGAAGGGTTCTACTCACTAAGCTACGTTTTTCGGAGTTTGTAGTTTGTGTCTATTACCGCTATAAAATCAATATGCCCTTGCTTATTAATTTTTTGCGTAAGTTGCCTATTTCCGGTCTAAGGGGTGTTGTTGTTCAAGGGCTAATAAATTCGGTACCAACAGTTGGATTTAGTTCAAACTATGAAATACGACATATCCCGCCAATATTTATCATACCCCAAAGTTTTAGCTCCCTGCGTTCACTGAGGGCTGAAAAATGGCTTCGGGAAACCAGGGATGATGAATAATTACTTAGTGCGTTTGGCAGCGCTGAATACCTGTAAATTCTAATCTCCTGGTCTTCTAAGTTTGCATGTATTTCTTAATGAAGCCATAAAGATGGTCGGGTATAAAGTTTTCGAAAAAACGTTCACTGTGTTGGCGGGAGATATGAAAGTTTTTTGTGCCCTATCTTATTATATGGGCGGCAGGTGGTTTTTTCCAGATCTCTTGAACTATTGGTTTCCTCCTCCACCGGACTTCTACACTTGCTTTATTGGTGCTATGAACGTGCTCGGTTGTACAAATTTTGGAATTCGGCCTTCATATTGGCGGAGTCCCTAGACTTTCTAATAGCCTATCTTAATACGTATGGAACATGTGGATGTTGTGATATCTCGGAAAGTTGTTACCTCATAGTGAACCGCCTTCTTGCAGACTCATTATTAGGGTTCTGGAGGATAAGAACATCAAACTTTTTTCCGATTCGACTTCTTGGTTGTTGAGGGTCCCTAGACTTTTTTATAGCATATCTTTATACATGGGCAACAAGTTTATTTTCCGAGATCTCGGAAAGTTGTTACCTCCTTATTAGTGCTATGTAGGTTCCTATGAGGGTCGAAGATGCTGCGACATGTATAGAAACTTTTAATTTCGGGTTTTCGGACAGTATCGAAAACGAAGTTAAAACCTGAAGTTTGTCCAAATTTTGATTGTACTGACTTGTTCACCCTAGGCTACTAACCACTCGACTGGGCCATTAAACTATTGTAGCGTACAGTTCTAAACCTCTATAGACGCAAGGTAATGTTATCTAAGACAAATTTGCGATTTAGCCGACTATACTTTGGGATCACCAATCCTACACAATCATTGCGTCTCAAAATGCGTATGTTTCGACTTTGCGCGCCAAGTTTAGATGTACAATTCTTCAGATATGAAATAAAGTTTTGTTTGGTTTAAAATAAAGTTAAGAGGACACAATCGGTTAAATGACTCTCACAATAGTAGTTATTAACTATAAAAGAATGCACTAAGACTCATATTGGTTAGCTTTTCAGAAAAATGTTTTAACTTAAACAGAACGCAAAAGAACGCATCAAAATGAATGCAAAAACTGCTTTTAGATTTCACCCATTTCATAATAAAAAATTAAAAATTAAAAGCTCTTATCTTCTGGAAATCTATGAGTAAAAACTCAGATTCTACAAAAGAAGTCATTAAAATCTAGTAATTTCATTGAATAATCTTTGATGAGTCACAAGCCGTATATTTATTTAACTTGAACTGGTATTCCAAAATTATTTTTCAATTTTTCTAAAAAGAGAAACGTTAAAACAGTTTGCGGTGCCATTCTGATCAAAGCAGGCATGAATCCCTTGAAAAAGGCAGTCGGTCCAACTTTCAATGTGTGCAAAAACACGTGACCAATTCCTCGGAACTCGCCTGGCTTAGAGTTCATCATTTTTGTCTTCATTACATCTATCGGCATAGTTAGCAGTGTCGCAATGCCCCCGGCAATAAAGGAACTTGTGAAGTAACATGCCTGCCCTTCGCTCATTAGGCCGAATTGTAAAATTTGCTCTTTGATAGTGTCGTAGCTAGCCATTTGTCCTATGGACATAAAACAGCCTCTAGCACTAGCCATAGTACAGCCTCGGAACAATCGAGAAAAACCTTCTTGGCTGATTACTTTTATGAGCCCATCTATCGCATGTTTGTAGTTCCTGCAAACAGACACTTAATTTTTTGACAACTAGTTGAAAAAATTGTTTTTGCTCAGTTGTTTTCCGACTAAACTGCCAAGAAAAACAAACTATTCAAAAATTTTTCAGCTCTACATTTCTATATTTTTGTGCTAATTTTAAAATAAAAGATCGCATTAAAAAACTGGATTTTATGCAAAGACAGTTAAAATTTTGTCAACTTCTGTGTTTTTTTTTTGTCAGAGAATATACTTTTGCTGAGCTTTTAAAAATCGATGTTTTTCACTGTGCTGAAAAATTAAGGTTCTGCCTGCGACTCTTTGGTGGTAATTTAATATCGTTCTGCATGCGAACATTTATCAAGTCAGTCGGGGTCCCAATTGCGCCTCCGATGAGACCAGCTGAGCCAGAGAGGACTATTTTGGTTGCCAGGTTTAGTTCTCGACCACTGAATTTAAACAGGAACAATTTTTGGCAATTTTTTCTTTTTAGTATGATCTTTATATATTTAGCCTGGCTTTTTTGGATCCTAAGGCTTTTCATTAAAAACATCTGTTTTTGGATTCATTTGTCCACAAAAAAAACTTTAAAAAAAAATTGTTGTTAAAAATAAAAAACATTTTTTTAGTTGTTGGAGAAGACAAAAAAGTTGTTGATAGGAATGAAAAAACGGTTTAAGATAAGAGCCGATAAAATCTGTTCCTGGATATGAGGTAGTTTTTCGCACTCTCGTAGACCCCAAATCTGACAGTGGAATAGGTGAGTTGTCGGAGTACTGATGCACTAATGCCATTGTACAGTGCAAAAAGGCCGTCATTCTTGATCACGTGGACAAATGTCCTACTCATTGACATTGATTCACTTTTGGCTGAGATTGTCTGAAGGTGCACCTGAATTAGTCACAAATCCAGTAACTTTTTAAAAATTGAAAAATTTCCATCAATTGATCAATTGATCTAAAATTAGACCATTTTTTTAAAACGACAATACAGTGGACTAGTTTACAGCAAAAATGCATATGATTTTGCAATCAGCAAAGCCCAAACTATCTCATAAGTTTGTTGGTAGTTTTCTCGAAGAGTTTTCTTTCAAGTTGGAATCTCTCCTTGAAGGTTGGCTCTCAGACCATTCGGATACGCGACGTTGCAACACTTAAGGAATAAGGAGAACGAAGGAAAACATTGGTATGAAGTTCCTGTATTGTCGATTATTTATGCCTGTTTTAGCATGCAAACGGCTTAGATGCTTTTGGTTAAACTCGAAAAATCTAAAAATGTCGAAACAGGTTTCAAAAATATTATGCCCGATGCGTCGGTTTTAAGTTTTGCCGCCTGTTTCTGGATTACCTGCGCCTGGCATAAAATACCTTGACTAGATCGAGTGGGTGGGTGCAGCTGGCGGCCATAGTGGCGGCCACTCCCCCGAAATACCATCTGGCCAGTCTCTTCACCTGCTGCTGCTGGGGGTCATCAGAGGTCACCACTATCTTCATCAGCTACAATACAAAAGAAAAAAAGGCACCCAGTTGTCTAAAAAAGAAAAAGAAAGTGGCAAAGGCACAAGTCCTTTTTTAAGAAGTCGCTAGCTCTTAGTTTTGAACTACACTAAGTTCAATGTATTTTCTGTTTTTGTGATTGAAAAAACATGAACAAACAAGCTTCTTTAGATTTCATGAAAGAAAAGAGAAATGAGAGAATCGTTTTTTTCATGATTGTGCATAATCATAATCATAATCATAATAAATAGTTTCCAAACGGGAGAATGTTTTTCTATATATTACTAATATGAGAATGTTTTTTTTATATATATAATTGGAGAATGTTTTTCTATATATTACTAAAACAAATCTAAATCGTATGGGAGAACACCATTGGGCCAGCACGGCCAAATTTTAGGTGTCTCATGCAGGGGCGGATTTAGGGGGGGGGGCGGGGGGCGGACGCCTTCCCCCTCAGGGATTCGACCCCCTGCCGACCCAAAGGGTCCCCCCTTTGATACTTTTTCAGAAATCCATTTTTGGCAGACCGACCCTAAAATTTTTCTAAAGGCGCCTTCGGCGCCAATATATACTATTTTTGAGGAGCGCGCGCCAAAAAAAACGCGATTTTTTGTCAAAATTTTTCAAAAAGTGCCCAAAAACGGCTTTTTTGACTGCAACAAAGGTCGACAAAATCAATTTGGTCGACCTAAAAACAAAAAAAAAAAAACGTCGTCAAAATTTTGGAAATTTTTTTGAAAATCCGCCCCCCCCCCTCGAGAAAATCCTAGATCCGCCCCTGGTCTCATGTCATTTTAGCGCAATTTCTAAAAAATTTCATTAAAAGAGAATAAAATTCAGAGCCATTTAAAATGTTTCCGTTTTTTACATATCTTAGAAATTTATTCTCTTAAGAATGAATGAAGATGTTAAAGAAGGAAACTCCAGTGTAGAGAAATCTATATATATTCAAAGATTTTTGGCAAATATAAGCTCAAAAAATTTATCTCAGCTCGCTATAACGAATTATATTATGAAAAGTTACCTTTCTAGAAAAAGAAGATCTGAAATAAAATTTCAAAATTAATGTTTTTGTTATTATTTCAGCAGTAGCTGATTCTTTTTTAAAATTAAGCATTTAAAGTTTTTTAAAATGCCATTAGTAGTTCAACGTGCAATAAAAAATTATGTAGCATTTTAGCTATCTGTAAAGACTTACCAGGTCAGCTTTTCTTTTCGAATCAGACACTTAAAAACAATAACTTGTTTTAAAATGAATCGACTTTAAATGGGACTAACTTTCGTTTGGTTACTTGTCGTAGCTATATGCCATGCAGAAAAAAATCACATTAAAAAAACAGAAAACAAATAAATGCTCATTTCTGACTGTACGCTGTGTATGCTATTTTTTAATGCTGTAATTCTGCGATTGGTATGCTGACTTCATAAAGGAGATAAAATTTTGAATAATTAATATTTATATTTAAAAATTTGTGATTCAGGTTAATATGGCGAAAGTTTTAGTGTTTTTAATGCAAAGGCAAATTTTGAGTAATGTTGGAAGCTAGACCATAAAACCTTGCTTCCGAACAACCATAGCTGGTTGCTGCGTAGTAACACAGAATGTTCCGACTACATTAAACAAAAAAATCAAATATCGTTCTTGCTAAATTTTGAGTTTTTTGTTCAGTAAAGGGAATTGCCGCAGGTTCAATAAAGCAAACTGAAAGGTAATAACAACTAAACTAACGAAAAAAGGAAATAATTAAATTGGGTGTCGTAAAATTTTAGCTCAATCATTTTCATCACATACCATGAAGTTTGAACGGAATACACTCAAGCCCGGTTTTCTCGAACCTCAGGTATTTCTTGAAAAATAGCAAATTTTTTTTATGGTACCCCATACGACCCGGTGAGTTTTTTCGAGGTAGATGCATTCCATGTATAAAAAGCAATTAAATTCAGTTTTATAAAAATTAAAAAATGTTGCCATTACAATGGCTTATAAGTGCACTTTCGCGACACACAGTCAACCATAATGTTTATTAGGAAATTCAAAAAATAGCCGGTTGCTGTGCAAATAGCACAGAGTGTTCCAACCATATTCTCGAAAAAATTACTTAAGACTTTTTTAAATTATTTTTTTTTTCAAAATACTGTTGTTTTTTGTGTGTGGTGTGATGAAAGGATCTGAAGAAAACCTGAAATTTAGGTATATTTGACAGTCACAGTACAATCTCTTATTATGATATATCACTCGATCCATTTTGCTGATTATTTGAGGCACCTGATTTTTCGCGAGGATAAAAATAAAAAACTAAAACATACACGAAGACACAGTTACTCCCGATTTTCAATGATTGGACCCAATAATGAGATAGGATGTACACATATTTGTTAAAAAACAATTTGCAGAACTAGCAACAGTTTTTTGTTTCATGACGCCTGTTCTAACTCTAAAGTTACTCACAAACACGAACGTTTGTACACATGTAACGCCCTCACTGCAATTGATAACAATCCACAGTCCTGTCCTCTGACAATTTCCTCTTTAGACTTTTTCACCCCAAGCTCGCTCAGTTACCCCCAGGGCACAATTGTAAGAATCAATCAAAAAATAAATTGAATTTGAGCTAACATTTTTTGAAACTAAGTATTAATTAACCTCAGTTTATCAAATAAAAACAAGAGTAAGTAAAATGTAAGAAAAAACCAGGAAATAATCACGCAGAGAAGAAATAGAAAAAAAAACAAAAGACCGAAATTGAGTTTCAATTTGATAATTAAAACTGTTCAAGTTTTGATTTTACTGAAAGGTGCTCTGACAGGCTTGATGAAAAAATATTTTAATTCAATCCAATTCAATCTAAACTATTCAATTAAATTCCTCCAAAACTGTACATGATGGGTTTAAATGAAGTTTTATTTTTAATTCTGGTCAATTTTCTTAAATCGCGTTTACTCCATTGTAGTAGAAGATTATAGATAATGACAAAACATCTAGTCCAATGAATGATTATCCCTGACTACTGTTCGGGAATTAGAAACACTTTCTGCATTACTTGCCGCCAGCTTGAAATCTAAGTCAACTCACAAACACAAAACACTTCCCACATTTAAATCCCTTGCTTCTTTTTATAACAACCACACAAAACCATCCCGACCCTCCAAGCATATTTTTTCTCCTTTTATCCCCGCAAACACGCCCTCTGGCCCGCAAGGAATATTTTAGGAAGTGAAAAATTTTACGAAAAAAAGGTTGAAAGCCTCGAAAAAAGTTTTTAAAAAAAGCTTAATTTTTTTTAATTTAAGGTTTAATCCTTAAGGAAACCAGTAAAATGTAATAGAATCTTGTAACTGAAAAATTAGAAAGTACTTGTGTAGAAAATAAGCGGAGAAAAAAAGTCAATAGTTAATCTCAATTTGAAAAAAGCAATTGTTCATGTTTTGATTGTACTAAAACGCGTATGAAAGTTCATGGTCGTTGAAATGAAATTTTAGTCCAATCTAATTTATTTTTTTGAAAATGTTGATGTTGAATTCTATTAGTTTTTTTTTTAAATTCAATGTTAGAGACTGACAAACCCAACCATAAAACTGATGATTGAATATGAAACTACGGTCCGGGAATTAGCACTAGTTTCTGCGTCACTGGACGCCTGCTTAAAATCAAAATCTAATCACAACCACGAAGGTGTTCACACAATTAACAAACTTACTCTCATTTACAAACAATCAGACATACTGGTCTCGTTCTCCCTAGTTTATTTTTTCCCATTTTATCCCCGCTAAGAGGCCATGGATCAATTGAAATTTTTTAAACTCAGGAAAGTTAAAAACTTTGTTCGAAGAAATTAAAAACAAAAAAAAATGAAAATGAGCTTACAACTTTTAAAACAATTAAATATTTCATCTTAGCTTATCATATATTAATAAAATCAGTAACCTACAGAAAAAAAAATAATTAAAAAAAATTATTGTGAGAACAAATGAATGAAAGAAAAAGTCAAAAATCAACCTTAGTTTGATAAATGCATTTGTTATATTACTGATTCTACTGAAAAATGTAATTATGCTTGTGGAAAACAATATAATCTAATAAACAATCATTACATTCCATCAAAATTGTTGATGATAGATTTTATCAATTTTTTCCCAAAGCTCGGAATGAATATTCATCAATTTTAATCGACTGTAGTAGATTTTTTCGAAATTGACAAGACAATCTAGTCAAATTGATGATATATTTTATAAATCTACGGTCCCTGACATAGCACCAGATACTGCGTTACATCAAAATTGTTCAAATTCTAAACCTGCTTACAGAAACAACTTCTTTCACACATTTAACATCCTTACTCCTTTTAAAAACAATCACGCATACCCGTCCCGTCCCATACATTTACTCTTTCCTCTTTAATTCCGCCAATATGCGCACTTGCCCCTAGGAGATGTGTGTAAAAAAAAATTAAAGAAAAAATAAATTGCAAGTGAACTAACAATTGTTAAGACAAGGTAAAAACGAATTTCATTTCATTAAATATAAATTAGAGTCATTCAAATGTGAAATCAACTAGATTTGAAAAAATAGAATAAAAACGTGAAGAGAATAGATGGAAAACAAACTTAAGAAAAACCAAAAGCGAATATCATTTTACCAAATGCGGATCTTCATGTTGTGAAGATAATGAAATTCGTCTAGAAGCTTCGATTTGATAAAATTATGTTTTAACCCAAACCAATAAAACCATCCCGACCCTCCAAGCATATTTTTTCTCCTTTTATCCCCGCAAACACGCCCTCTGGCCCGCAAGGAATATTTTAGGAAGTGAAAAATTTTACGAAAAAAAGGTTGAAAGCCTCGAAAAAAGTTTTTAAAAAAAGCTTAATTTTTTTTAATTTAAGGTTTAATCCTTAAGGAAACCAGTAAAATGTAATAGAATCTTGTAACTGAAAAATTAGAAAGTACTTGTGTAGAAAATAAGCGGAGAAAAAAAGTCAATAGTTAATCTCAATTT